TAATAATAATTATTATTATTATTATTGAGATCTTGTGTAGTGCAAATTTCTACTTAGGATTTATTTTATGAATTATTTTACATAAAATATAGCATAATACACATCTGAGCAAATCTTTTTTTTTATCATTTAATTCATGTTTATTACAATTGCTAATATAACTTAGTTATAACTTAGCATAAAAAAATACAGGTGTAATAAAAATGCGACAAGTGTGTAAAAGTGAAAAAATTGGTGATGTGTGCATTTTTCTATGAACATTTTTTAAATGAATGATCATATTAAATCTTATTTAATAATCTTATTAATATAAAATCTTTTATATTAAAATGTACTCAAATTGTAGATAAGATTAATATGTTTGCTTCGAAAAGTTTCCAAATCTAGTTTTTATAATCTACATTTGAAAACTTTTAGATTTATTTAACAATAGTTTTATAAAAGGATTTATCTTATAAAGTGTATATGTGCAATAAAACCACAGTCGCATACAGCAACAGATTAAATTAATGCACATTTTTGTGCAACTTTGAGCTGGTGTTTGGAAAAGTCTGTAAGAGTAATGCATAAAATCTAAATTTCTAATGTGCAAATCCAAGACCATTAGTTGAAAAGTTGCTTTTTAAAAACAACTGTATTTTAAATTACAGCATGTAATGGACATTTGAGTAAATGCTTCTTATAGGCATTCATACACACGTACAATTAATGCATTTCACCCCTCTCATGATTGTGAATTGCTTTGGGTCTATGGCCATACACAATAAAAACACTATATATAATACATATATACAATATTTTTCATATTACTATACGTAAATGCGCTATATAAATACACATTACATTACTCTTCATTACATATAAAAACACATTACTTACAGTTAAAGTCAGAATCATTAGCCTCCTTTTTTTTAAATACTTCCCAAATGATGTTTAACAGAGCAAGGAAATTTTCACAGTATGTCTGATAATATTTTTTCTTATTTGTTTTATTTCAGCTAGAATAAAAGCAGTTTTTAATTTTGTAAAACCCATTTTAAGGTCAAAATTATTGCCCCCCTTTAGCTATATATTTTTCTGATAGTGTACAGAACAAACCATTGTATATAATAGCTTGCCTAATTACCCTAACCAGCCTAGTTAACCTAATTAACCTAGTTAAGCCTTTAAATGTCACTTTAAGCTGTATAGAAGTGTCATAAAAAATATGTAGTCAAATATTATTTACTGTCATCATGACAAAGACTAAATAAATCAGTTATTAAAAATGAGTTATTAAAACTATTATGTTTAGAAATGTGCTGAGAAAATCTTCTCTACTTTAAACAGAAATTGGGAAAAAACAAAGAGGGGGGCGAATAACTCAGGGGGGGCAATGATTCCGACTCAAACTGTACTTACTTATCTAATGCACATTTATGTGGAAATCACAGATTTGTCTGCACATATATTAAAAAAAACTTGCAATGTTGTGCACAAACTTCTTAAATTGGAATTTTGCTCACTGAAGACAATTTGAAGTCTCTTAAGTATAACTGTACTTACAAATCCCCATCACAAATAAGGTTTAAAAAGCCTTTTCTGAACAGTTTCAATCAATCCATAAACCCTTTTCACACATACAGGTTTCTCAGTAGCAGAAGTCATCATTGTTGGGAAAACTTAGAGCGTGGTGAATAAGGGAGATTACAACAAATTATTTTTTACAATCGTATTTGCTCAAATAATAAAAGAAAAACTTCACCATGGTGTTATCAAGACTTTCAGAAAATAAAATTGTGTGAGACTGATGACGGCAACCAGAGGAGATGATAATGTCAAATTTATTGTCCTGTCCCATAGATGCTGCATTAGAAACAACTCGCACAAGCGGTGATTCATTGTTTGTAATTTGAAGCAAAGATGATATAACGCATACATAAATACATATAAATGTTCATGTGTTACTAAAAAAATCTAAATATTAAAAACTGAATTTAGATTTAAGATGCTGATGACCGTTAAACGCATGACAGGCTTGTGAAAAGGGTCCATTCTCAAATGTTTTAATTGTGCTTTTCCCACCATGTGATGACAAACTGAAAAAATGAGATTTTTTAAACTTTCTTTACTCACCTGGTGTTTTGATAAGTAGTCTGCAAGGGTATTTAGCAGCTTATAATAAATCTCAAACCATGGGAGATAGCTGTTAAAAAAAGAACAAAAACAATAATAAATTAGCAATTATTGAATTATTGAGCAAACAAATCACTGTATGTGTATTAAAAAGATACTACCGGTCAAAAGTTTTTTTAGTTTTTTTTTTTAGTTAAATTATTCTGTTCATTAAGTTGGCGTTTACTAAACATAAGAAAAAAAGAAATTTAAAGAAATTTAAAGACATTTAAAGAAATGTAGTGTCAAATGAAACTATTACTCCAGTCATTATTGCTTTAATTACCAGTATTACCATACTAATAACATTAATATTAATATTAATAATAATAATAATAATAATTATTATTATTATTATTATTATTATTATTATTATTAAAGTGATTTTTCAAGGATCATGTGACTGGAGTAGTGAAGCTGAAAATTCATCTTTAAAATCAATTAAATTAATTATTAAATTAATTTATAAACTACTTTTAAATAGTTATAGTACATTACCATTTACTATTTTACAATTTGCCCTATATTTCTGAATAAATAAACAAAGTCATAGTGAGCAGGAGAAGCTTATTTTAAAACATTTAAAAATCCTACTAACCCCAAATTTTTGTGTATATTTAGAAAAAAAAACTAATTATGAATCTTACAATTACATTCTTACTCGCCGACACTAGCATTTCAAACATTCCAGCCACAGAGCGAGCGAAATAAAAGTATTTGGTTTCTTCAACAAAAACACACACTGTAGCCTGTAATAAAGCAGAGATGGGACGGTTTACAAGCATGCTGCATCCAGATGCACAACCTGAGCCTCATCGCCGTACATATGTCACCGCTTTAAATTAATTTCCTAGCACAATTGCAAAAAAAGAAAAAGATTTACACCTTATCAATGTGTATTAACTAATCACACGACGACTTGCCAAGACTGTGTGTGTGTGTTGCAGCCTGACAGAATCTTGGCAAAGTTGACAAGCCTTTAAAGATGGAATGGAGCCAACGTGTTGTTTTGGCTTGAAGGTTTCAAGAACACACACCATTTATTTTGTTACGCAATCCGGTGAAGGAGAAAAAAAAAAAAAAAAAGAGCGGCCTGCTAGCGGGCTCTGACTTCTCCTTTCCTGGTATGTAGGCGTGATTACAACATGCATTTCGACTCGCTCTGAAATCTCACACTTAACCGAGAGCGATTACATCAGCTTTTCTTTTGTTTGTCGCTAACGCTTGATTACTTTAATTGGATGTAAAAAAAAAATGGATGACTCCAAATGCAGCACTTTTTTATGATTATTATTTTATTATTTTTTTAAAGAAAAAAAGGTCTTGTAGACGTCTGAACTGCAGTGCTTTGATTTTCTTTTATCTTCTTGCTTTTTATCCCTCTATGGGTCAGTGAGCTCTCCAGCAGACTGGAATTAACAGACAACAAAACACACACACACACACACACACACACACACACACACACACACAACTAAGTGTATCTAATGCAAATTTTCATATTGCCGAATCCTTAGGAAAAGGGGCCCAGTGCTGCGTGCGCTCAAGCGGAGAGTCTTTTCAAAGATTGGGGTGACCATTAACCTAAAACAATCATCTCTTAACATGCCAATATTTTGACGTGCATGCAAACCAGGTCACACTAAAATTAAACGCGTCTATGCAAATGGCAGACGGACGTGGAAAAATGGCCCAGATTGCGGCGTGTTTGGCTCAGAATGACAAGTTGTTTGAAAGATCGTAATCGTCCGACACCTTTGCTCAAGCTTGCATTGCACAACAAAGAAAAAAAAATCATTATCGTTCTCTCTCTTTTGCTCGCTCTTTGTTTAAAAAGCAAAGCTCCGACATGCTAATCCGTCATTTCTCACATGTATAAGAGGATTAAACCGGGAGCATGTCAGAAAACGCTCATTATACTCTTAAATGAGAGCATGTAAATCTTTTTGTTTTAAAGTCAAGGTTATGAAGATATCCTGGGTGGAAGTTTTAAAGCCGGAGCACACCAGCATTCTTCTTATTTTAACTTTCTTTCCCACATAGGCTATAAGCTCAAACCCAATCTCTTCACAGCTAGTAAGTAAAACTGTGTTTGTATTGGGCAAATCCTCTGATAGAGGAACATTCATCATGCTGAACTGTGCTGAGACGAGCCAATCTCAGCGGCCCTTTTAGCTTCTCCAGCGCCGTGTGTTTTCCCAGAGTAAACCAACTTATCTGGGGCTTTGCAGGCAATCCCTAACAAACTCAGGCTGCTTGCTTCAACAGCCAGAAGCATCAGATAAAGAGCGAGCAAATGGTTTGATAGCGGGAAAGACTGACCACCGGCGAATGAGGGAATGCGCAGGTCATGACATGATTAGAGAAGATGTATTTGTAATCTTAAGAATTACGTGTGAATGACTTGAGCGCTTGTAAGCTCTGACTTTAACTGCTGTCAAGACGGTTCCTGGGTTGCATGTATTTATAGTCCACTTAAATTGAAGTTTTAGCATGGCATAAAATAGAACAATTAATTCATACTTTTTTAGATTTTTGATACAGTTGAAGTCAGAATTATTTGCCCCCCGTTTATATTTTTCCCTAATTTCTGTTTAATGGAGAGAAGATTTTTTTCAACACATTTCTAGACATAATAGTTTTAACAACTCTTTTCTAATAACTGATTTATTTTATCTTTCCCATGATGACAGTAAATAATATTTGACTAGATATTTTTCAAGACACTTTTATACAGCTTAAAGTGACATTTAAAAGCTAGGTTAATCAGGTTAACTAGGCATGTTAGGGTAATTAGGCAAATTATTGTATAATGGCGGTTTGTTCTGTAGAATATTGAAAAAAATATAGCTAAAAGGGGCTAATGATTTTGACATTAAAATGTTTTTAAAAAATTAAAAACTACTTTTATTCTAGCCGAAATAAAACAAATAAGACTTTCTTAATAAAAATATTATCAGACAAACTGTGAAAATGTCCTTGCTTTGTTAAACATCATTTGGGAAATATTATAAAAAAGAAAAAAAGTTCCTCGTTCCATCTATTAGTAAAAGAGCTTTTATGTTTAATCGTCCAATAGATTGCAATAATTTACCTGCTAACATTCGTTTCATTGCATCATTTAAGGTGTTTAAGCAAACTTTGCTGTCATATTTTACTTTTGACTGTACTTGTTTTTTCTGAGGATGTTATTGTTTATGTGGTGATTTGATTTACTGATCTGTATATCTTTTTGTACTATGTATACTACTTCCCCTTTTGTTAATGTTTTTTATTTTTTGAGTGTGTTTTTTTGGATGTTTTGTTTTTGTCTTCTGGTGTTATCATTATATGATTGTCATTAACTGTGGTGCCCCCTTAAAAATGAGATGGTACATCTCAAGGGGTTTATCCTAACGAATAAATAAATGTACATTTAAGAAACAACACCATTTCTAGGGGTTTTTATTCAGAAAGTAGAGTTATTTAATTGTTGTTTTAATCAACACTTTTTCAGCATCAATATTAATTAATATTCTCCTTATTATACTTTGTTATTATTGTACTATTTCATATTATTTATTAAATTGATATTATAAACAAACCATTACAAAATTATAATTTTTAAAAATCACTTAGGCCACTAATGGCAGGAGAATTGTTTATTAATAAAGTAAAAGAGGTCAAACACAATAATATTTCAACTTTTCTAAAACAAATTGTATATTTGATTATTTAATTGAATATGAATATTTAAAATTAAGTAAACTAACATTATATTATTGTATTATAATTACTACATTACTCTTATTATTAAATTAAAATGACACACAATGATAAAAACATTATTAACTAAATTAATTAAATATTGAATCTTCTGAAATATTTCTAGGCCACACACACTAATACACTGTAAAACCCAAAAAGTTAAGGTAACTCAAACTATTAGAGGAAACCGATTGCAACAAACCATTTAAGTTCAAAAACTAATCCTAATGAGTACTGTGAACTTAATCCATTTAAGTACATGAAGCAATCTGAGCACAGCAAAACCCACTAAATGAACAGAACTCAAACCAACTGAGTACTGTTACAACTTAATAAGTTAATGCAACTCAAACCATTTAAGGAAACTGATTGCCACAAACCATTTGAGTTAAACAAAAAAAAAATCATGTATATGAGTACTGTGAACTTACTCCATTTAAGTTGAAGTACTGATGTATTTACTTAACTCATTACCTTCAACACAGTTCAAAACTAACCTTCAGTCAATTCTGAGTTAACTACACTCATTTCATTTGATAAAGTTGACTGATGGGTTTTACAGTGTAACAGCAGCAGCTCCATTAATAGTTTAATATATTCATAATTGCTATTATTTGTATTTATTTATTATTGTTGTTGTTGTTATTACTATTCTTATTATTATTATGACATTTTTAAATTATTATTAGAAAAAACATTATGGCACAAAGGACAAAATTATTAAAACATTAAATAATCTGCACTATTTCTACACCAGTAGGAAGGTTCAAAATGAATGGCTCTACTGATATCATTTTCATTAAAAAATGATTTATGAAAATTCTCTTAAGTGCTCGCAACCGTACAACTCCATAAATCAATCTAAACTCATATTACGCCTTTATTTTGTAGATTTACACGGCGTAAATGCTCTTTGCTTCGTTTTAAACCGTGTACGATCTAATCGACCCCTAAATCAACTTGCATCCTAAATCACAAGAGGTATTTAGGAGCTTTAAAAGCAAGTCAGCTTGCACCTTGTATCCTTCCCAAGATGAGATATGATTACATCCGGAGTTTTATGTTCAGCACAAGAAAAGAAATATCACTAAATGACCACGAACTGAAGAAAAGCTCTGCTGTCTGAGGACGACGCCAAAGCCGGGTCCCAGCCCTCAAATAAAAGGGGCGAAAGAGGGTCTGTTTTATTTGGAGGTTTTTTCGCAGATGTCCGAGGGCTATGCGTCCGTTTTTGAAGTGTGCTGGCCTGGACTAAACCTGCAGAGCTACAAAGGGCTGTCCACA